AAAGGTGTCTGTGGGTCATCCAAAAGGTGACTCATGGAGACCCCCTTTGGGTTTCTGAGGTGGTAAATCTTTATGGAAGTAGGTTGCCCAGCTGGTGGGTTTGCACTGCCAATCGAGTTGGATCTGACTCATAGCAACCCCTCCTTGGGTTTCCCAGGCAGTATCACTACAGAAGCAGATTGCCCAACCTTCCTTCTGAGGAGTGGCTGGTGGGTTTGAACCACCAGGCTTCTGGTTAGCAGTCAAATACCTTACGTTCTATGCTACCAGAGCTCCCAAATCTTTACAGAAGTAGATTGTCCAGTCTTCTTTCCATGGAGTGGCTCGTGGGTTTGAACTGCCAACCATCTGGCTAGCAGTCAAATGCCTTAGGCACTACACCACCAGAGTTCCTTTAGGTGGCACAAATGGTCTATGCTTGACTACTAACCTAAGATTGGCATACGAACCCACTCATCAGTCCTGCAGAAGAAAGGTCTGGCAATCTGCCAAGAAAACCCAATGGAGCAGTTCTCCTCTGTAACACACGGGGTCACCATGAGTCAGAACTGACTCAGTGGCAACAGATTTGATTCTCTTTGGTTTGGTGAGGCATCCAGGTGGCCATGTCTGGGAACTCAGGGTTGATTTGGGTTGGAAATGAGGAAATGGGAGTCACCCACACCAAGAGTCACGTGAGAAGGGTTGAGAGGGCAGGCAGGACACCTTATTTCACATGACTGGCCTGTGATAGGTGCATAGTCGACTCATGTGTTCTACATCACTAGTCCTTGGAACTGGCCTCAAGGGTTAGCAATCTTTTCAAATTTTCTCTCATCCAAAGCTTTTCCTCTTCTTCCCTAAGCCTTCCGCATCACTATTCTCATCTATCTTCCCATCTGGGCATGGAAGTTTATTGCTTGAGTTGCTAAAAACACCCACAACATCTTTTGAGGAAATTAAAAACAACCAAATTCCACTAGAATGTTAAGGGTGGGTCACAAAGGGAGAAGATGAGACTATACATTGGCTCAGCATCTTCTTCATTAGCAGATCCTTCAGAAAGAGAATAGAGCTAAGGGAAACTAAAGGAAGGTAATAGTGCAGGAAAGAAAAAGAAAAGAAAGATTATAGGAGCTAAAAATACACTGAGAAGTGCTTGGCTAAGCATCAAAGAATGGCAGATGGGTTTTCAAATAGAAGTGGTGGTTTAGATATGTCTCCACGCACAGCTCAAAATGATGGGTGGGAAATCTTGATTACTTAGACTGAGCTCAGAGTTTTAAAAAGCGTCATGACAGAATCAAACTGAGAACCAGGCCTTTCAGCAACATGGAAACCCTCCTGCCTCCACCTCAAGTTCTCTAGATCAGTTGTTGGCAGTGACAATGGTATTTTCAATCGCCTCATATGCATGTGAGAGCTGGACAATGAATGAGACCGAAGAAGAGTTGATTCTTTTGAGCAGTGATGTTGGCGAAGAATACCGAAGGTATCATGGACTGCCAGAAGAACTAACAAATATGTCCTGGAAGAAGTGCAGCCGGCATGCTCCTTGGAAGTGAGAATGGCCAGACTTCATCTCACCTACTTTGGTCATGCTGTCACATTCCCTGGAGAAGGATGTCATGCTTGGTGAGGCGGAGGGTCGACGAAAGAGGGGAAGGCCCTCAACGAGATGGATTGACACGGTGGCTCCAACGATGGGCTCAGGCACAGCAAGCATTCTGAGGCTGGCACGGGACCAGGCAGTGTTTTATTCTGTTGTACATAAGGTCGCTATGAGTCAGAGCTGACCCGATGGCACGTAACAACAAGAGTTTAAAAAAGCTTCTTGAGAGGATCAAACTGAGGACCAGGCCTTTCAGCAACATGGAAACCCTCCTGCCTCCACCCCAAATTATCTAGATCAGTTGTTGGCAGCGACAATCGAAATTCTTGCCATGGTTTCAGGACCCTGGGACAAATAGACTCTTTGACTTTATAATTCTGAGTAACCTTCGATCAAACAATCACTGTCAAAGGTTAGCCACTTTGCTCCGCGTATCTTCTGGTACCCACTTTCCTTTTCATCTAACAGGGCATGGAATATTCTTACAGCCAGGGGGAAACACAACTCCTGTAAACACACTACCCTCTGTGAGGTAGACTGAGCTGACAAGTATTGACTGAAAATGAAGCATGAGAAAAGAGATGTCGTGATACTCCAGTGAGATCAGAATCATTCCCCACTTTCAAAGGGCTCACTGTTTGGTTTCAAAATTCAAATGGATGCACATGTAGGACTTGAAAGGAGCTCTGGTGGTGTAGCGCCTAAGACATTTGAGTGCTAATCAGAAGGTTGGCAGTTCAAACCCACCAGCTGCTCCGTGGAAGGAAGATGAGGCAATCCACTTCTGTAAAGATTTACTGCGTTGGAAACACAATGGGGGTCAGTATGAGTCATAAGTGACTTGATGCCTGTGGGTTTGGTTTGGGTAGGACTTGAAATGAAGGTTACTCAAATGTTTGGTTCTGTCACTTGAATCATGTGCAACAGGAGCTCAAGAAAGGGCCAGAGGACAACAAACATATGAAGAAATGCTCACGATCATTAGCTATTAGAGAGATGCAAATCAAAACAACAATGAGATACCATCTTGCTCCAGCACTAGTAGCAAACTTCAACAAGACAGAAAATAACAAATGCTGGCGAGGTTGTGGAGAGATTGGGACTCTCATACACTGCTGGTGGGACTGTAAAATGGTACAACCATTGTGGAAAGCAGTATGGCGATTCCTTCAAAAGTTGGAAATACAAATACCATTTGACCCAGCCATCCCATTACTAGGTATATACCCTAAAGAAGTGAGAGCCATAACAAGAACAGATATATGCACGCCGATGTTCATCGCAGCACTATTTACAATAGCCAAAACTTGGAAACAACCTAGATGTCCAACAACTGAGGAATGGATAACCAAACTTTGGTACATTCACACAATGGAATACTATGCAACGCTAAAGAATAATGTAGAATCTGCAAAACACCGCATAACGTGGATGAACTTGGAGGACATTATGCTGAGCGAAATAAGTCAGTCACAAAAGGACAAATATTGTATTAGTCCGTTATTGTGAAAGTTAAGGAAAGGTTTATATATTGGAGGACATTTTCTTTGTTGGTTACCAGGGTGGGAGGGAAGGGGAAGGAATGCTGTTAGATAGATAGAGATAAATATTGATTTGTGTGAAGAGAAGGGCAATGTACCAAATGTGAGTGACCAATATGGCAGCATTGAGAATGAGAAAGACAGAGAGAGTTACATGGGCAGTATAAACAACAAATATGAACCCCTTTGCAAATACAATACTGAGTTGTCAATGAAAGCAAACATGGGTATAGGGACGGATAGATGGGTGAACAAGCTAAACAATTATGTATGTCTAAATGGAGAGTGTATCCAAGATCATATACAGGGTTGGCAGACAATGGGCCTCTCAGGGTGCAGAAGAGTATGAAGGGATGGACACTGGGAGGAGGTAACTATGGGGAGGAAGTGGGAGGGGAGCTGCTGCATTGTAAATTTTGGTCAGTGACATGAGACAAAGTGTATGTGAACTGCTGTATGAAAAGTGAATTTACTCTGTAAATCTTCACCCAAATCCTAATAAAAAAAAAAAAAAAAAGAAAGGGCCAGAGGAATTGGCCACACTATTAATAATGTTGGGAGCCCTGGTAGTGCCATGCCTAAGGCACTTGACTGCTAACCAGAAGGCTGGCGGTTCAAACCCACCAGCCACTCCTCAGAAGGAAGATGGGGCAATCTACTTCAGTAGTGATACTGCCTCGGAAACCCAAGGAGGGGTCGCTATGAGTCGGGTCCGACTCGATGACACATAACAACAACAACAACATTAATAATGTTAAGACAAATATTATTTATTGAGCATTTACTATGTGCCAGCCAAGAGCCATGCGAAGTGCCTCACATGCTTTGTCCCATTTCGTCCTCCCCATAAACCTGGGAGACACACTATTACTATGGCCACCAACAATCTTTGTTAAAGGCTAGCCACTTTACATCATGATATTAAATTTCAAATAAAATGAAATGAAAGTTCAGAAAGTGAATTATCTTGCCTGCGGAATGATGGATCTGGGATGCAAACTCAAACAGAACAACTCCCGAGCCCAGAGAAAGTCTAGGACTAGAGTTGGTCTCGGATATGATATTTGGTTGGGCCACCAGATAAGAGGCTGAGCGTCTTACAGAGTGGGTAGGGGCAAGCGTTGGTCTAGACCTTGGCTGAGTCCAGCCTTTGCAGGTTACTAATTGTGGGACCTGGGGCATGGTTCCCGAGCACTCTTTGCCTCAGTTTCTTCACCTGTAAAGTAAGGATGGCAGCTGTACCCCAAATGAGAACTGTTGGTAGCATTTCTTGAGATGGTGCTTGTAAAGTACCTAAAATAGTGCTTGGCCTACACTACGGGTTTAATAAATATTCGCTCATTTTATTGATGTAGGAGAAATAGCATAAGCCAAGGTAACCTGGTGGAATCAGGGATTGAGTTTGAAGAAAGGTGAGGGTTACCTGTCGGGGCAAAAAGTACTACTTATCAGCTGCTTTCCAGGTGAACAGCTCTGGCTTAGAAAATTCAAAGTGATCTTCAGAGCCAAGAAGTGTCACTTGGTCAGTGAGTCAAAGGCCTAGGAAAGTAAAGACAAGTGATGCGTGTCTGGGAAGAGGAGGTATGGAAAAACAAAGCTCAAGACAGGGAAGGAGAGAAAACAGGACTACCCCCATCATGCTTTTGCTATTTCCCTTCGGTCCTTGTGACGCAATGTAAAGGCGGATGGTAATTTCCAGGTGGGCCGAGTGCCTGGTGCCACCTCTCTGAGGTCCCCTGTCTTTGAAAGGATGCCTGCCTCCTCAGTCCCCAGACATTAGCAAATCATTCCCAAAGACAAACCCTTTCCACCGCCCTACTCTAAAGCTGACCCACCTCTTGGGAGGTGAGGCCAGGGCTGGCCGCTGAATGGGCCCCATTGTCCTCCCGAAGCGTCTGTGGGTCCAGCTGCCGCCGGGCCTGGAGGTGGTGCTGCTGCAGCCCGGCGGTGCGGTCCGCCTGTAGGCTTTGATTCACTCCAGGGACAACACTCAAACCCTCAAACAGGCAACACATGGATTCCAGGAGCTCCTGCCAGACGCAGACTCGCTTTTTCCATCATTTCGTTCTCCTCCCCTTCAGGAGAGAGCCTCTGGCATTTTGCAGATGAAAAATCCAAACCACCAAGAGGACACGCACCTGATAAGCAGCGAGGCATTGCCCAAGAGTTCCCAGGAAGAGGCGTCTTTGTTCTTGTTTCAAGCTCCTGACACCGCGAACAGCTCTAATTACTGCATTTGCCATGGGATGTAAAATAAAACCACATTCCAGAGACCCCGTAGTTTGAGAGACACGCAGGCAGAGGCACCCGGGCTACAGGAACGTGTTCCTTCACTTCTAGAAGGTCCCTAACCTTGGCAGCGATCCTGAGTACCTTCCTTATGTATCTGCAGAAGGGCACTTTTGCACATGTAAGGATGCATCCACTACCTGTATCCACACGTCTGGCCTCCACGTTGGACTGTGGTGCTACACACGGCATGCTTCTTAAGAATGTTGCGACTGTGTGCCATTGAGTCATTCAGACTCATAAAGACCCTAGAGGACAGAGCAGAACTGCCCCATAGGCCTTCCTAGGCTATAAATCTTTATGGTAGCAGCTCACCAGTCTCTTCTCTTGTGGAGCGGCTGGTGGTTTCAAACCACTGATCTTTTGGTTAGCGGCCGAGTGCTTAACCATTTGTGCCACAGGGTTCCTTCCTAAGGACATTAAAACCCACTGCCATCAAGTCGATTCCTGACTCACAGTGACTCTATAGGATCACTGTGAGTGATCCTGTGGGGAACTGCCCCACAGAGTTTCCAAGGCTGCCTCATCTTTCTGCCATGGAGCAGCTGCTGGGTTCGAACCGGCAACCTTCTGGTAAGCAGCCAAATGCTCTAACCACTGTGCCACCAGAGGCTCTTCAAAACCCCCCTGAGTTATTTTGGACGTCAGAAGCTCCTGAGGCAATAAGCACAGGAAAACAGAACTTCTTCCAACATAATTTAACTATAAACTATGATGATGTAACACCCACCAACACCCACATCACAAACCAAAGTGACATCACAAATACTACAGATAATGGTTCAAAACTGCCCGCCAAAATCTGAACAAACTGCAGTCTGCCCATACATGACTAGGCAGGAAAAGCTAGGTGACTAGAAGTAGCTATTATATACACACATATATATATGTAAAATTTTTAAAAAAAGGAAAAAGAAAATACATATTTCTTCCCCCTACTAAGCTAGCTAAAATAAAATTTAAGGCAACTGAAATATGGTAAGGTGGTTTTATTTTTTTATACATAACATTTCTTAGAAAGTCTGATCTCTTGAAGTATGTGATTCTTAGCCAAATTGTTCTCTTGTTCTTGGCTGGTCCCAGGAAGTGGAGGCCGGTATCACTGACCTTGTGCTTCGGTCTTTACGGATCTTGGAGTATATTTTCCTGTTTAGCAGCTTTTCTTGGCTCATGCCTGTCTGGTTAGAAAGTGTACTCAGGGTTTGGCAAGATTGTATCCGCTGTCATTCCTGGGTTGCGGTGGTTGAGGAGTGACTGCAACGCTTACAGGACCCCTGGGTGACCCTGTCTCTGATTCCCGCCACTGATTCCCTCCCTCCTCTTTCCAGCAGACAGAATTTCTTTTGATTCCTTCCTTACAATGCTCCCTGATCCCCCACTTCCCACCCCGTATGTCCCCCAAGAGCCTGGATATCACCATGACCTTGTGAAGTTACTGTTTTGCCCTTCCTTGGTACAAAAGGTTTTTGGGAGGAGACAGGATGCACAGTAAGATTTCTAAGAGCTTTGTGGATGGTAAACGTAGGTGTGCCTCCAAAGCAGGCCTTCTAGTCCATGCTTAAGAACTAGTCTTTTTTTTCACTGCCTTTTATTCTCCTCTTGTAATTCTAGCATCCAACCCACGTGCGACGAGACCTCAGCATCCCCACCTACGGGCTCCGACAGTCCATCTTGCTGAACACCAGGCTTCAAGACTGCTATGTGGACTCACCAGCTCTCACCAACATATGGACGGCCAGAAAGCGTGCAAAGCAGAACACACGTGCCCCCGCGCCGAGTACCACCTCTTCTTGGGAAGTTGTAAAGAATCCACTGATTACCAGTTCCTTCTCCCTGGTGAAGCTAGTACTCAGGAGACAACTGAGGGATGAATGCTGTCCCATGCCGTGCAAGTTTGAAGAAGCAAAACTCTCGAAGGGATTTCAGGCCAAGGACAACTCGGCGATGAAAGCCGCGCAACAGCACAGGACTGGAAACTCCATTAGTTCTAAGAGCAGGCGGCCAGCGGGACAGCGGCCTGGCTTCTCTAGGTGCAAGAGGCCTGCAGGAGGCATCAGCGAGGTAGATGCTGGCCAGTGATGGAGATAATGGGGTCGGGTGGGAAGAGGAGAGGGGTAAAGTTAGAGGACACACAAAGACAAACGCTTAAGAGATGTACCCCAAGAGAAGGGAATCCTGAAGTTCAAGTCGGGATGGGGAGGGCTGGCAGGCTCAGTCTGATATGGTGGAGAAAGCAACAGATGTGGGTTTGCATCTACACAAAGCTGAGGGCCCTTTCATAGTCACAGACAGAAAGAATGTAGAGAGAAGGGAAAATAGGATAAGGATGGGAAGGAAAGGTAAAGGCTGGAGTATAGTTAGGGTGCGCAGCATGCATGCGCGCGCGCACACACACACACACACACACACCTGTATGCGCACACTCAAAGCCAGACATTGAGTCACAGCTCCATAAACTTCCATGTGGAGGCTGGGGTCCAGAGGTTCGCTCTGAGTCCAGCTCCATGACTCCATGGAGACCAGCAGAAGTCCAAACCTCAGCCCTGACTAGCACTGAGGATGACTTCGGGTTTAACCTCTTTGTGCCTTGATTTTGTCATCTGTACAATGGGGGATAATGGCCCTGCTTTCATAGGGCTTTATACAAGGATTAAAAGAATTACTGCAGGCAAAGGGCTTTTGACTAGTATAAATGCTTTGAATTGTGCATGGCACAACAACTGTGCTTCTTAACCTTTTAGCTGTGTGGCCTTGGGCAAACTAAGTGAATTTCCTTGCCTTTAAAGCTGTCCTGCTGACCTTATAGGGTTACAGGGAACACATGTCACGGTGCACATGAAGGCACTCAGCAAGCAGAACACGCTAGACAAATGTTGGTTGTTCCTGTAACCAAGACTCTCGGGACACAAATCCCAGATAATTATTCTGAGCACCCTTCTCGAATTTTGGCTTTGACTTCTCCTCTTTCTTCTTGGCTAGAGTAAAGAAAGTTCAAAGGAGAAAAAAGGAACCGTCCGCCAAGATCTTGAGGACAGATATGCTGAACATGTGGTCACCAGCCAAATGCTACCCTGGGACAGTGGGACAGCAGCCTGGAAGGGCCAGGCATTCCTTCCTGAGTCCAGAAAGAGACAGCCACTGCCAGAGGACACGCTCACCATCCATGGCCTCCCCACAGAGGGTTACCGGGCTCTGTACCACGCTGTGGTCGAGCCCATGCTGTGGACTCCCTCGGGGAGTCCCAGGAGGTACAGCTTGGAGCTGGGCAAGGCCATTAAACAGAAGCTCTGGGAGGCCCTGTGCAGTGAGGCCGCCATCCTCGAAGGCGATCAGGAAGACCCGTCGCCAGACAGGAAGCGACCCCACGTCAGTGAGAAGCCTGTGCAGAAGAAATGGCCCAAGTTAAAGAGCGAGAGATAGGAACAAGAACTCACGGGAGTAGGATACTCTGTTAGATGTCTGAAAAATAAACACCCCTCTGCATCTTCCGTGTGATTTCAGAGTACTTTACACCTTAGTAGGAGCTCTGGTGGTGGTGTAGTGCCTAAGGCATTTCACTGCTAACCCGAAGGCTGGCAGTTCAAACCCACCAGCCACTCCTCTGAAGGAAGGTTGGGCAATCTACTTCTGCAGTGATACTGCCTCGGAAACCCGAGGGGTGGCTATGTTGGGGCTGACTCGACGACACATAACAACATTACACCTTAGTAGCTACCCTCCCAGGGAAACAAGACAAATAAATGGGTATGGGATGTCCCCCAGACAGACATCGTTTCTAGGGCTAGTTGCTTGGGGCTTCAGATACCATTCTTTTCCTATAGATGTTTGAGGGCCTCTCAAATCTGTCAGGTAGGAAAAGGCCTGGCTAATGCATTGATGGTTTATGACTAACCTATATTCCTTAGTTCCCCAGTGCTGTTCTAACAGAAATATCTAAGGGGTGGCTTTAAAGGACAGATACGAATCTCAACGTTCAGGAGGCTAGAAGCCCAAATTCATGGCACTGGCTCTAGGGGAAGGCCATCTGTCTGTCTCTGAGGCAGTATCTTCCCGTTTCTCTAGACCTGTGTGTCTCAGTTCCTTGCAAGTTCCACCTGCCACCTATCTGGGCCCCCTTTTTGTACTTTCTCACCCTAGTGTCTATTCTCCTTCACTCAGAAGGGGTTAGGTTTAGCTCAAAATCATTGGGAAAAAAAAAAAAAAAGACCAGGTTTGCTGGTCTGCTAGAGCCTGGTGAGACCCCTGAGACCATGGCCCCTAGTTACCCTTCAGGTCTGGAACTGAACTCACTCCTGTGGCTTCCAGCCAAACAAGACAGGCATATGGGGTGAACATTTACATCAGGTAGATGATACACTCTTTGGAGCAATGATCAATCGTGGGAGAACAGAAGGGCAGTGTCTGCACAGGGAGAGAGCTGGGGGGCAGGAGTACATGGGGGGGAAGGGCACAGGGAAGAGGTAACTACAGGGAGGAAGTGGGAAGAGAGCTGTTACATTGTGGGGAATTGCAGTCAATGTCATGAAACAAAATGTGTCTGAACTGTTGTATAGAAAATGAATTTGCTCTGTAAACTTTTACCCGAATCACAATAAAAATTGGGGGGGGGGGGAGAAAAGAAAGTGGTTAGGTTTAGGATACACATTACAACTGATATGGTGTAATTAACATAACAAAGAAAACCCTATTCCCAAATAGCTACAAGTGAAAAAAATAAAAAAAACTCACTGCCATTGAGTCGATTCTGACTCATAGCAAACCCCGCTGGATTTCTGAGGCAGTAAATCTTTACAGAAGTAGACTGCCCAGTCTGCCGTCCACGGAGTGGCTGGTGGGTTTGAATGCCAACCTTCTTGTTAGCAGTCAAATGCCTCAGGCACTACACCATCAGAGCTCCTTGACCTATAGGTGCAGGGGTTAGGATTCTAAGAGATATTTTTCAGGCTGACATAATTCGATTCCCTTTTATTAAAAAATGTGGATCATCCATTCCTCTCCCAGTCTTGAGTAGAAGGCCTACTGCCACCTCCAGAAGATCAACCTTCACCACCCTCTAGTGCTTCCTTCCTGGGCCACGAGCTTACATCCCCACTGACCTGAGAGGAAATTTTACTGATGCATCATGGGCAGGTTAAAGTAAGCCACGGCCCCCATGCAAGCCTCTGCTTCACAGAGTACCACCGGTAGACGTTAGCCAAACAGCAATGACAACGTATAAACACATCCTTGATAAAACTGTATTATTATTATTATTATTATTATTTTACAATCATTTGTACAATTTGTTACAAAACCATAGAAGACTACAACTCGTTTTAAATCATTTTTGGTCGGCAAATATGTAAAATCTGTGTGCAATTATCATGTATTTACAGGGCCTCATGTTAGTCATTTTCAATGATTATTCCCACAATGTTACACTCTCAACATAAGACATGGCTTAAGATAAATATATTAGTAAATAAATATTCTGAGAACATATTTCCATAAATGAAACGTGCTGCTATACATATACAGAATATACATAAATTGTTTTCTAGCCTTTAAAACATTTTTTTAAAAAATGGTAATGTTGGAGAAAGAGCCCTTAGACCATTTTATTACAAAAGTTTTGTAGCAAAATCTTTACAAAATATCTTTTAAGTGCTATGGGAGAAATTAAAAAAAAAAAAAAAAATTTAAAGTAGTGCCTTGTGAGACCAACACAATAGAAAGAGATTATATATAAAGAACAGAAAAAGGCAGTTCCGTTTCAAAATACTACTCCAGTAGTAATTCTTTTTTAGACCTCATCTTCAAATCATTAGTCCTGCATAAACTTGGAGCAGAGACTAGCAACACTTAAGGAAGGAACCGAACCATGGGGCAGCTTTATCAAACAGCTTGGGTTTGAAGGATGGGAAGGAACTAAGAACGGTCCAGCCCGCTTACCAGAGCCGTGTCCACAAAGAGGTAGTAACCTCGTTAGTCAGAACACCTAAGTACTCATTTCCAACTGGTTCTAAGCATTCTTCAGTTTACTTGGCTGGCCTATAGGGCTGGGCCATGGGACCACGTCCAACAGCCGCACCTCAGCCTGGGGGGTGGGGGGTGGTCCTCAGTGGAAATACAGCGCTTCCGGTTTCCATTGCTTTATTTTTCAGTAAAACCTGTGAAAGCCGGAACCTGGCTGAGGCGGGAACCTGTCTGAAGAGGAAAAGTCAAATATTTTCCACTAATAGAGAGCAACCGAGAAATGGTAAGACTACAAGCCTGTCAAAGGCAGAAAACTTGCAAGATCTAGAAAAACAAGTTCGTCCCACCAAGTCCGGATCTCACAGGTTTTACCGCCTCACCCTGCCGCGGAGTCCTCCAACAAAGCTGTCATGGCTACTGGAGTCTTACAACTTCAAAGAAAACATTTATTTTGATTTAAAAGGCCAGGTCATTTATTTTAATATAGTTGTTTATTATATTCTGGTCACCTCCCTATCTGATGAGCCGACACAAATTTAAAACACAACTGCTGATATTTAAGGTTCTAAATTTTTTTTTTTCTGTCGCTACCATTCCATAAACAAAAAAAATGGAACGTCCTTCTTTTGCCACCTGCAGTTTCCCCTCTCAAATGAGAAACTGTACGACTGATTTTAATAAGAATGGTGAAGCCATATTCTGTACTCATTCATTCACTGCTTAAAGCTGCTGAGGGGTGGCTGGCCAGGGCTAAAGAAAGTCACTTTGGGGGTATGATTTCAGGAGAGGAAAGTAAGATTCACTCAAAGGCCCCTTTGGGGGGGGGGGGACGACCATTCTCAACCAAGAGAAGCTGCTTTCTGCAGTTACCTTCTTCCCTGAAACCATGTAAGGCAAGCCGTTGTCCTCGGCAGCTGCTACTTCTGGCCCAAGATGTAAAGGCGGCTGGATCACATGTCAACAGCTTAGGGCTTCTCACACCCTCCCCAACAGGTGTGGGGCACAGCCCAGAGGAAACAGCCCCCAGGGACCACGCCAGGGAGGCTGGACGCCAAATCTCCCCACAGCGACAGCAAATGGCTTCTTTACTGGATGCTGCGATTTCTTGCTATCAAATCCTGGCTAGAATGACGTTTATTCCTCAGTATAAGATGGGTTCTCAAGACAAAAGGATTCCTATATGGTGAGATTTTAATTCAGAACACTCTGGTCTGGCTGCACAGGTGATGGGATCCGGGTTGACTTCACACAGCCTGACTGAAGAAGGATGTCGGGCACCCAGCAACTCGGGGTGGTTCCCATCCCCAAAAACGTGGGGCCAGGTTGCACCATTCCCAGTCCCCAAACGAGCTTAGGCGGAATACGCCAAACTCTTGAAGATGGCAGCAAATCTCTGTTGAACCAATGAATACCTACTTAGAAGTGACTGCAAGACTTAGTGAACCTAAGGGCTAATGCGATTAGTTTCTCCTAAAAACTTTTTTTTTTTTTAAGAGAAAAGAACAAGGAATTCATTGGACAAAAAAGGCTAACAATCCCTGATCTGAAATAGCTTTAAATAGATTCTCTCCCTTTTAAAATGGAAACGACTTTTAAAGCACCCCTCCCTCTCCAAAAACCCCCACCTGTGTTTTTAAACTCTCCCTTCCCCTTAAAAAATGCTGGAAAAATATACAAAAACCTACCCTTTGGGTCTAAAACTAGTCTCTTTCTCTCTCCTCGAGGAGGATCAATACATAGTAGTGCATTAAGTAGAGAGGATAGCAGACATTTCCAAGCGCGATGAGGGATTCCAGCCACGATGCAGAGGGCTGAAGCAACCCAAAGCGGTGCTTCCCATGGAAACAACAGCAAGAGGAAACGTACCATCCACACCAAGCGCCTGCAGATCACGCCGGTCCCCGCACGTGGCTCCAGGAAGCCACAGCCCAGGGGCGTGGCTGCGCCCCTAGAACGCATGCGCACATCAGCTGGCCTCACTGCCAGGCGTCCCAACTCTACACGTTGAGTACGTGTGGAGTTCGCAGCGAGCACCCCCACACCCACCAGATACCAAGGCCACAAAAGTACATTCCCTCTGGGTGTTTGCCCCTGTACGGCCCCTCGAACCATTTCTGCAGCCAGCGGCTGGAAGCCCAACATATTCTTGCAAACATTTCCAAAGTTAGGACTATCGAGGGCAAGCCTCGGGTGGAGACTCGTCTTCCTTAGGCCCTGGGGTCGGTTTATAAAGACTTCGGAGACCCCCTACCCGACCCAGATCATGACCGTCCATTTCTATCGTTTTACTGGGGGTGATGGCTAGAGGGCGGATTGCCGAGTGGGTGGACTCGCCCGTCATCCCGAGGCTCATAGCAAGGACTCCCCACCCCCTCCCCCACACACAGATAGAGGCCGGCAGATGTCACTGTGTTTCCACCCGCGGCCTAAGGACGCAGGCTGCAGGGCCAATGGCTCTGAGAAGACCTGAACTCCCGTTCAGCAGGATTTGCCGCGAGAAAGGAAGAGGCAGCATGGCATTGTTCCTCAAAGTCTGTACCCTTATCAACTGGCTTTACTTCAAGTTTCTGGTGCATTTTCTAAGGCAGGTATAGCCCTGAGCTTTTCAAAGGCCTGAGCTCCCTTTGGGGAGACAACAGTATCTAAACATGATGGGGTTCATTAATGCAGCAGTGATTTTTTTTTTCTTTTTCAGCAAAAGTTGACGGTTAGGGTTCTTTAAAATATATATTTAAATAACTTTTTACATTTACATATAATATTCACAACGACAGCGCAGAGAACTCAGTCCCACACACCTCAGAGCCTCAAGCACACACACTTTACAAACAGAAGGGAAACACGTTATCAAAAGAGGCAGAGGCCTCGGGATGTTTGTCGGTGGTTTGTTATTGGGGTGGGGGGGTTGCCACAGGTGGTTCACATTTCGGGTTGAGAAGGAGGGCTCTGTTTATTACCACTTTTGTGTGTTTGTCAAAGCTGAAAAAAAAAAATATTTTTTTTCTTTGAAGGAAGTCAGAGTTTGGCGTCTCTACAGTTTCCCATTTCTAGGTAAGAGCTCCTTCTGAGTCAGGCTCCCGGGCCGCTGCCATCTGCTGGGTGAGGTCCTGATCCTGGGAGAGAGAAAATACTCGTCAGGGGAGGAGGCCAGCACCCCTGAGGTTTTTGCGTGGGCCCTGTTCCCTCCTCCCGCGTGGCGAGTCCCTGGCCTGGGACAGGCTCTCTTAGTGCGTGACAGCTCGCAACACTGGGCCCATCATGTATATAACACGCGGCGGAAGTGGAGCTCCTTTTCTGAAAGGGTCTGTTTGGTGTCAAGAGCACAGGTGCCTTGTGGAGAGCTGGTCTCCCTCAAGTGGATGAGCGAAGCCTTCTGGAAGCCACTGCGCAGCATGGGAACACAACACACCAGAGTGGTATTGACCAAGCCCCCAGAGTGCGGCAGGCATGGTCGCATGCGCTGGGATGAGCAGTGGAGACACCATCAGAGCTCACAGATCACAAGAGAAACAAAGTGACCCAGGAAGGAAACAGCTGCGTGACCTTGGGAGGTGGGGGCAGGGGCAGTCACTTCAGCTGAGATCTGAGAGGAGAGGTGTGGGGAGATGGTCCGCAGACCGGAGTGAGCAAGGCATCCTGGGAACAGACAGACGTCAAGGGAGCTAGAGGAGGGAAGGAGGAGGTGGCTCCGGGAGGGCAGGGGTCGGACCACAAAGACCTGGGCACCACCTCGAGTGTGTAAGATGCTAAAGAGAATGCCAAGTCATCGAAGGGTTTTCCAGCATGATGACATAACATACCCTTGGGTTTCAGAAAAGAGCACTCTGGTTCCCCCAATGGAGACTGAGTAAAGATACCAAGAAGGGTAAAAGGAGACCAGTCAGAAGGTACTGCATTCACCCTAAAGAATAATGTACAATCTGCAAAACACTACATAACACAGATGAACCTGGAAGACATTAGGCTGAGTAAAATACATCAATCACCAAAGGACAAACATTGCGTTAGTCCAGCGTTGTAAAACAACACAATGCAACGCACTGCTGTTGAGTCGCATCTGACTCATAGTGGGCCCTCCTTGGGTTTCTGAGGAGGTATTACTACGGAAGTAGAGTGCTCAACCTTTCTTCCCAGGAGTGGCTGGTGGGTTTGAACCGCCAGCCTTCTGGTTAGCAGTCAAATGCCTTAGGCACTAAGCCACCAGAGCTCCTATTATAAAAGGGCAAGGAAATGTTTATACATGGAAGGAAACTTTCTTTGTTGGTTTCCAGGGATGGGAGGGGAAAGGAGGGAAAATGCCTAGATAGATTGGGGGGTTGAGGAAGACGAAGACACACACACACACACACACACACACAACACGATTATTAGTGGTTACCAGGGGTAGGCATGAGGGGGAAAGGGGAAGCTTTTGTTTGCAGAGCATTGAGTTTATGCTAATAGATGGTGGAGTATTTTGGAAAAGGATAGAAATAATGGTGGCACAACATGAAAAATGTCATCAGTGTCCCTGAGCTGTAAATGGGGAAGTTGTTATGTTGGTGAATGTCTCATCGTGTATGTTTTCACCACAATAAAAGGAGGGTGGAAGGTACCGTGTTTGTCCTGGGGAGAAGAAACGGGGCTGGGAACTATTTTAAAGGTGGAACTTAACCCAATGCTACTCAAAGGTGCTGGACTTTACTACTACCTGAGCCTAAATGTTTGGAAACTGTAACCATTTGACAATATCTGTTGAATCTAATAATAATAATACTAATAAATTAGACTTGTATTTTCCATATATTTTGTTAAATTTTCTTTTTCTGGTAATTCCTTTTTATTGTCTTTTACAAAAAGTTATCAGTCCGTGGTGGACTGTGGCAAAAACAAGCAAACGTGGTTCTTTGCCAACAGATGGAGAAGCAGTGACTTGAGTGTGAGGGGCAGGGCGGGGGCACTGCGGGGGCACTGCGGGGGCAGGGGCAGTCCCTGAGCTTTGGCCTGAGCATCTGAGTGGGGTGACTGGGAGAAGGGGAGGCAGAAGGTGTGGAGAACACTGTCAGACATGGCAGCTGGGATGCCTATGAGGCACCTAAGACAAGAGAAATCACGGAAGCAGATCGACGGGGCCGGTACTCAGGAGAGGGCTGGATTACATGGGGAAGCCATCGGGTATAGATAGTCCTTAAAGCCAGGGACACAATGGAGTCACTTAGACAACCACACAGAGACAGCTCCTCTGTGGAAATGTCTACTCTGCCACCTGTCACCTTGTCACCTTCTCTCACCTGCAGCCTCAGCGGCTGTAGCATCAGACTCCTGAGCGTCCTGGAGGGCCCTGGGGAAACAAGCCCGGGGAGCCCCCTTGCCCTCTGGAGGGCGGCCCGGCCGCAGCAGCTTCCCGGCCGGGCAGCCCAGAGCCTGCTGTCCTTCCTGGGTGGTGTCCACACCCCGGGGAGGCTGTGGGATGTCCGGGCTCGGTGTCCCACCCCAGGGGCCGTGGACCTGGGATCCAAGACAGTCTGCAGACGGGCCCAAGTCACAGTCCACATCCTCTGGGATGATTGGGATGCGCTGGGTCAGGTCCCGGGCCCCTGGGTGGCAGCTGGGTGGGGGCTCCTCGGTGAGCGTGTACTGCACACTCACGGAATAGTCCTCAGTGTAGCAGCTGCCGCGGGCCACCTGTCTCTCTTCATAGAAGCAGCAGGGCAGGCCCTCGTATGGCACCCCGTCTGTCCTGGGCAAGTGGTCTGGGTGAAGGCTGTGCCGGCCCTGGGGGCCTCCCGGCAGTGGCTCCCCACTGGAGGGGCCACAGCCCTCACAGAGCGGGGCGCCCAGGAACAAGGTGCTGCTGTCCGCGGTGCCCGCGCCGGGCTCCAGTGCAGAGGGTGGGGGCTCGCAGCAGCAGGCACACGTGAGCCCCTCTCGGCCCCCCTTCCAGGTCCTCCTGAGGTCCAGGGCGGCCCCAGGAGCAGCCTCGAGCCCCACTTCTGAGGTAGAGCTGTTGGGCCCCCTGTGCTCCAGGGAGGAGCTGCTGCTGTAGTTCATTTCCAGGCTGCAGGTGGACAGCTGGTCCCCCGAGGGCGAGACAGGCCCGGGCCAAGGCTCTCCCCGGCCGGCACCGTAAGCACGCATTGCCAGGAGCTCCTCAGGTGGTGGGGAGCCCTCGAGGCCCAGGGCCGGCCCCCGGCCTGAGCCGCCTGCGTCGCTGGTGCGGCAGGGGCTCCGGCTGCGGTAGATGAAGGGGTCGTAGTCGCTGCTGAGGGAGCTGCGGAAAGTAGAGCAGCTCCCGTACACGCCCTGGTTGCTGACCTCGGTGCAGTCCACCATGGAGTCGCGGGAGGAGCAGTGGCACCGGCCGGAGCTGCTGCTGCTGCTGCTGTCGCTGCCCGGGCAGTCGGCCAGGTAGCCGCTGCACACCGAACGGTGCCCGTGGTAGCAGCTGAAGCTGGACGTGCTGCCGCTCTCCAGGTGGGAGTGAGGGGCCAGGTGCGCCACGGCGGGGAAGAGGAGGCTGCCGCTGGCGCTGCCACTAGGCGGGAAGGCCCGGGACGGGCCCCGGGGACTCAGGCTGGGGGGGGGCTGCCCCTCCTGCTCCGGGTAGCTGAGGCCTTGGAAGTAGTAGTGTTGGTACATGGTCTCGTACTGGGAGAAGCAAGCTGCCTTGGAGAAGCTGCGGCCGCTGAACTTGGGCCTGCGGAAGGGGTGGGCTGGTGAGTAGGCCCGGTGCTCCAGGCTGCAGCGGTGGGTGGCCAGGGGGTGGTCCAGGTGGAGAGGGGGATAGCTGCGGATGTAGGCAGGGGTCTGCGGTGAATAGAGGCCCTGCTCCCCGTGCCGGTCCACGGTCAGCAGCGTGACGGGGTTCCCGTGGGAGTCCATACTCGTCCTCGTAGGGTAGGCTGGGATGGCGTTGGTCCTGTGCACGCGGCCAGGGTAATGGACCGGCAAAATGACCCGTTGCTGCCGGCCACGTGAGAGGTTGTTCGTCCCCACACACACAGCGCTTGGGTTTCTCTTTTGTTCTAGGGAGAAGAAAAAGCAAGCAGGGCTGAGCAGACTGGTGTCAGGGACCAGAGGGACAAGTAGGGGCAAAGACTAAAGCCACAGCCACGGTCACGTGCCGAGGTCCCCAGTCTCACGACCCTGCCCCGCAGGGTCCACAGTGTAGACTGTGGTCGCTCCTGCAGGGCATGTCTCCCACCTCCCCACTCCTCTGCACCCGGGGTGGGGGCTGAGAAAACAACAAGAGTACCGTGCTAAAGGGCTTTGTCCCTCTTTGAAAAACAGCAACCTGCAGTGACCCTGTGCCCTGTCTAATAACACAGCGATGCAGAAGCAATGACATGTGCCCGGCACGTCAGCCTCCTCATCTCTGTGGCCCTGGGAATGGCCCCATGCGACAGGGGATAGGGAAACATCACCACTGTTGCTCTGGCTATAGATTTCTGGGCCCAACGCCCAAGGTCAGGAAGCTGGCTCGTGAGAGAGCCAAAACTCCAACTCAGGGTGATTCTTTTTTTTTTTTTCTCCTTCAAATTTTTATTGTGATTTGGGTGAAAGTTTACAGAGCACATTCCTTTCACATACAGCAGTTCGGACACATTTTGTCTCGTGACGTTGACTGCAATTCCCCACAATGTAACAGCTCTCTCCCCACTTCCTCCCTGTGGTTACCTCTTCCCTGTGTCCTTCCCTCCCGTGCACTCCTGCCCCCTGAGCCACCTCCCTGTGCACACTCTGCCCATTGTTCTCTCAGGGCGATTCTTAAGGCCCAGCTCTCCTAAAGCCTGTGCGGCCAGCCTCCCAGGGTTTGGTCTCCATGCCTCCAAGTCCAGAAGGCAACACAGTGACAGCTTAGCTCATGAGCCTGCCGTACGTGTCATACTCTGACCAGATACTCAGCGGGCTGGACGCTTTACCTATGATGTTGTGCCGACAGTGGGGGCAGGTGTGGTGCTGCAGCAGCCAGGGGTCCACGCACTTCTTGTGGAACCGGTGGGTACAGGGGATGATCCGCAGCTCCTGAGAAGGGAGAGGACCCAGCCTGAATGGAGGGCGCAGGCCAGAGGGCAGCTCTGCTCTTGGCCCTGTGTGCACCCCCCCCACTGCAGAGCCTGGAGTGGACTGAGGAATCTGTTCGGCTCCCTGTCACCCAGGGGCACCCTTCCTCAGTCTCTGGGTAGTTCTGTTCTCCGTGTCCAGCTGCAGGTCGGCTGAATCTCCTGCAGGCAGAGCTCACTGATGGGCTCTAGGGAGCACAGACCTCAGTCTTAAGGGAGACACGGCATGAGGAAGCAGGTTCCTTCCTGTAGTGGGAGAAGGGCAGCCATTCTTGTGACTTTCTCTCGTACAGAGGCCCCCGTGTGGAGAAGACCAAAGCCTGGTGTTAGTGAGGGTGGGAGGCCCGGGGCTGTGGAGAAAGGGCTAGCTACACCCCAAGACCTTCTACACCTCTGGGGTGGCAGCTGCCTCCAGGCATCCCAAACAGGGATGAATAGAAAGGAGGATGCCCAAGCCTCCTAAGTGATGGAGGTGGAGGGGTCAAAGGGCAAAGCTCTGCTGTTCTGTCCTCTCACTGAGCCCTGAACCCTCAGCCCAGGGGCACGTGGTTTCTAACGAAAACAGCTGATCTGGAGGGGAGGGCATGGTCTGCTGAGGCAGAACTGCCCTTGGAGCGCCGCAGCCCAAGCACCTGCAAATGTGCCAGTTCTACTTTGGTTTTCATTCTCTGGGTCAGTGGAACATAGCAATACACAAATACCTAACGCTGGGCCTGACAGTGGGCCACAAGCTCTGCCTGGGTCTGCCCACATAACCCTCCTGATCCCCTGGAGGCACGTTAGTCCAGGCCCCTATCGAGAGCCCAGATGGAGAATGACGTCATTTGCTGATCAGCACAAAGCTCAAACTTGCCTGGGCCAGGATTAGAACCTGTACTTGTGCAAAACTCCATTCTCCTAAAACCAAATCCCAAACACAAGTGCCATTAGGTGATGCTGATGCGTGGTGACCCCGTGGTGTCTTAAGAGTAAAGTTGTGCTCCACAGGTTTTCATGGCTGTGACCTTTAGGAAGAAGGGCACCAGCACTTCTTCCAAGGTACCTCTGGGTGGATCCAGAGTCCATCACTGTGCGCACCACCGAGGACGCCCCCATTATTTATCTATAATTCACATTGTGTTGGGTGAAATTCGCATTTGGGTGAAAGTTTACAGAGCAAATTCATTTCCACACAGCAGTTTGTACACATCTTGTTTCATGACACTGACTACAATTCCCCACAATGGAACAGCTCTCTTCCCACTTCCTCCCCGTAGTTGCCTCTCCCCTGTGTCCTTCTTCCTGTGCATTTCTGCCCCCTGAGCCGTCTCTCTGTACAGATACCGCCCTTCTGTTCTCCCATGACTGATCGCTCCCAGGAGTGTATCCACCTGATGTAAATGTTCACCTCGTATACCTGTCTATTGTTTGACTGGAAGCCATGGGAGTGAGTTTAATTCTAAACCTGAAAGATAACTATTCTCAGGGTCTCACCAGGCTCTATCCGATCAGTAAACCTCCATTATTCTAAAGCCAGTTTTCAAGTGTACACAGGAGTGAAACATTTTCATCAAAGTGTTATCAAAATGTCTGCCACTAATTCTCAAAAAAGTTTGCTCCTCCTGCCCCAAAATGTGTGTGTGCATATGCCTCTATCTAAAGAGAAAGAGATTACGCACGCAAGCATGGCAAAATGCTAACAATGTTGATTCTGTGGGAATGAGGAACCACTGAGATTCTCGCAACTCTTCTGAAGGCTTGAAAATTTCCAAATAAAGAGCCAGAAGGAAAAAGGGGACATCAGTCCTTGTCTCTCTGTAAGTGAAAACACTGACTATCCCACAAAGCTTTTTAGGAGAGGTTCGTCTCAAGATAGTCAAGTCTTAGTGTTGTCAGTCAAGTCTCAGAGTTGTCAGGGGAGGGATTCTAAAACAAAGTCAACATGTGTCAACGCTGTAAGGCCACACATTTTCTCTGGCCTCTTGTCTATTTCTGATCGACCTCCATGGGGCACAGTCTTACTCTGACACACACGGGGTGGCCACGTGGGGGAACCGCCTTGACAACAATCAGTCTGGTATCTGAAATCACCATTGTTCAGCCAGGTCCTCGGGAGGATGTCTCCTCATGGTGGCCACTCCCCTCCAGGAGGAAACAGCCATTGGAACATCTCAGGACACTTGCTGGAGACCTGGGTGCCTCTGCTGCCGGTCCACCTCGCGCCCACCCAGGGCGTCCTGCCTCTGCCGTTACCTCTCCGTCCATGTACTTCTCCAGGCAGATGGCACAGTCAGAGGTGGAGCTGCTGCTGAGCGTGTCCAGGGCCCCACAGCTCCCCTCCCGGCGCCCCTTGCTCTTGGAGTTGAACTTCCTCGTTTCCATCTTCTCCAGAGCCTGCACGGCCAGCCTGTTCATGGAGTTCTGCAAGGCAGAATGCGGCCTGCGGTCGGGTCGGGCTGTCACCCTCACGGACCACAATGGCGCAGCAAACACAGTTCTATCAGGCCAGGACAGACTTTGGGAAAATCACTAAACATTCAGACTGCCTTAAGCACAGGCACTGCGGATGCCTCCAGTATCCCCCAACGAGTCAGGCTTTCCCCACACAGTAGTTCTGGCAGGGGTCGGCTGCAATGCCCAGCCCTGCTGCTTCCCAATTCTGAGACCCCGAGTTATTCACCCAGTATGGGTTAAGGGTGCCTCCCCTTTACACAGAAGGCAGGCGTGAGGATAAAGGATAGAATGTGTGTGAGTGCTTGGTCGCTGCCGTTAGCTGCTGCCGAGTCGTCCCTGACCCATGGCGATCCCATGCCCGATGGGTTGGACCGCTGTGATCTCTGGGGTTCTCACTGGCTACCTGCTGGGAGCAGACTGCCAGGCCTTTCTTCCTAGTCTGTCTTTGTCCGGAAGCTCCACTGCTCCACTGACGCCTGTCCAGCTTCACAGCAGCACCCATGCCTCCCCGGCCGGGTGGGTGGGGCTATGCTTTAAGAGCACTGGCCGGGGATGGAACCGAGGTCTCCTTGCATGGAAGGCAGGCAGGCAGGCAGTGCCCAATAAATGGCAGGCACTGTCCTGTCAGTGGTGGCCACTGGACCCTTGTGGGAATTCAGAGAGTCTCCTTTTCAGAGACTGCCACCACGGGCCACCATCTCTCTCCTGAGATGCCACATTGCTGTACGTATGTCTGAGAGCTGACCTTCCTGCTTATCTGTTCCCTGCCCCACGTCCACCTCCTTCCACCCGCTGCTCTGCTCACCCAGACGCACTGGGAGAGCTGGGGACACACACATTTGGGCTGAGCTGACCTGGGCCTAGGACTCTGCATCTCTATCACTCTCCCAGGTGACGCTGATGCCACTGGGCTCCAGGTCCCCACTGAGGAGCAAGGCTCTCGGGCTCCACATACACTTGTAGACATCCCTTTGGAAAAACTTCCTGGCTGGGATCAGACCAGGTGCTTAGTCTTTCTAGGAAAGACTTTTCTAGAACAGAGAAGGCGCAGCATTCGAAGCTGTGCCCTTGTTTTTCTTCACCTTTGCTGTTTCTAACCATGGCAACAGGCTCTGCAACTCAGTACCCACGGCTCTGAGGCTCAGCTACCGAGCCGCCACACACTAGGCAGACGCGAGCTCGCCTGCAGTGGAAACGGGGCCATGGGAATCGGCGTTCACAGACTGCTCCAGGATGTTACCTGACTGCGTCGCTGCTTCAGCTTGATTTTGACAAGAAGGATGAGGCAAACCAAGGAGACCACGACAAAGAAGGCCAAGAAAATCCCCATGTCAAAGTATTCGGTGGGTTGCTACAATGGAACAAAAGTACAATTAGTCACAGCCTCTCCTCAGCCTGGTGATCAGTGACAGGGGCTGTGTCCACATCGGGCAGGAAGGATGACTGATCAGGCTGCTCTTGCCCCTCGTGTGAGGCAACACTGGGGATTCTGCTAACAGGCACACAGTGTGCTAGGTCCACGGCGGGATCCGGAAAGTTGGCTTTCATCTGGAATTGAATTTCATGACCTCCTGGTGGTTAATGCATACAACTTCAACTTCTCTTGAGCGTGTTGAAGGGCCACTGTTGGCCAAGAACTTGTGACTGGCATCTTTTGCCCAAACCTCAAGCTGAATGATTCTAGCACTTTGGGGCAGATACCCCAGGGAAGGCCACAGCCATCTGAGCCAGGCCTCCCAACACACGAGGGAATTCTGTTCCGAAAGGCCAGGTCCCCACGGAATAGTGCAAAATATGCTGCAACTGGTAAGAAAGGCCCTTCCAAATAAACACAAATATCACATTTATAGGACAAAGGAATGAGTGTCATGTTTTGAGGGAACAGTGATTACTAGCCATGTAATTAATGGTTTACAACAACTTAGAAAATTGCATGCTGCTTCCACAAATATAAGCTTTGACTACAATGAGTCATGTTTACCAAAGTGCTCTTTTTCCTTTTAAGAAGCAGCTGGCAAGTCAAGTCTCTTGCAAAATCCCTCGAGTTTTAGGTCTTATCTTTCTAAAACCCTGAAGTCACCTAATCTAGGACATGTATTTAGCCAACAGGAAGAGTGCTTTGCTAACTAAGTGTTGCGTGCATCCAGATGTTTTGTACACGTGAAAGATCATTCTACACGAGAATAGCCAAATACGTGTGTACTTGAGAGGAAAGAATAAAGTGTATATGGGGTATCTGCCCCAAGGTCTGAGAATCCTTCAGCTTGAGGTTTGGGCAAAAGATGCCAGTCAAAAGTTCTCAGCCAACAGTGGCCCTTCAACGCACTCAAGAGAAACTGAACTTGTAATCATTAACCACCAGGAGGTCATGAAATTCAATTCCAGATGAAAGCCAACTTTCCAGACTCCACTGTGAGTCGGGGGATTTCAGTAAGATACTTGACTGTCTGGGGAGAAGAAGTTTAGGCTTTGTCTCTAGTCTAGGCCATGTGGAAGGCGGGGGGCAATAAGGAAACTGAGGGCTTGGGCATCCTGCCCCTTCAGTCCTCCTTCAGTTTGCCTCTCAGACTAGGGAGATGGGATGGAGGAGAAAGAGGGATGGGAAATTAGAGAGCACACGGGTGGGAGAACCCAGAGCACGCGGCACTGCTGGTCCATTTCTGGACGGGGCTGTTGGGTACCTTCGAGTCAATTCTGACTCGTGGTGACACGACCCCATGTGACACAGAACTGCCTCATCAGGTTTTCCAGGCCCTAATCTTCATAGGAGCAGACCGCTGGGTCTTTCTCCCACTGAGTGGCTGGGTGGATCTGAACCGCCAACCTTTCGGTTGTCAGTCCAGTGCTTACGTGCTGCACCACCAGGGCTCCTCTAGTTCTGGGAGCACTTTTCAAATCTTTCAAATCTCCTAGAAAGGAACACGGGTGAAATTCCTCCCCGGCCTCCAGCCCTGTATCTGCTCAACACCCGCAGGAACCTGGGGTGCGTCGGCACTTCGGACCGAAAGGGGCCAGGAGGAACACAAGCACACCGCCCAAAGGAAGCAAAGGCCCTGGGAGTAGTGGAGGCAGCCCCAGGCGTGGCCACCAGCGCTGAGGCTCACTCGAGGGGGACGGTGCTGGATCCTTGCTCGGGCCACTTTCTGCTTGTTGACGATGTTCATCAGCTTGATGGCATCTGCGCCCTTCACATACACCACTGGTCTCTTGAGTGGGTCTTCGGAGCCCTGGTTTAGCTGAGGAAGAAGAGAGGACTCTGGTTAGAAGAGGTGTTCACCTTCGAGAAACAGGAGAGAGTCAGAAAGGTTGCAGGAAAATAACACCCAATTCCCACTTCCAAAGCAAAAAACTAAACTTACTGCCATTGAGCCGAGTTCAACTCATAGCGACCCCCATTGGGTTTCTGAGGTGGTAATCTTTATGGAAGCACACTGCCCCACTTTCCTTCCATGGAGCACAGCAACTGGTGGGTTTGCACTGCCAGCCTTCTGGTTAGCAGTCAAATGCCTTACGCACTATGCCACCAGAGCTCCTTAAATTCTCACTTGGGAATCCTCAAATTCTTTAGGCGTTCTAGCCTTGGCGCTCCCAGAAGGGCAACACCATGGGCAGACTGGGGGTGGTGCTCTTCTCAGGATGGCCGGGGCAGGCTGATGGCGCAAGGGTCTGCCCCACTCTCCTGGGCTCTAAGCCCCTCTCAGTTCACCTGCTTCACTCAAATGTGGACACGAGCTTCAGCAGACAAGTGCAAGGCCCCTCAGTGAGTGTGACACGGCTGTGCCACCTCTCCCGGGTGGAGTGCAGCCGTGGTGGGGCCTGAGGGATTCACCTGGTCAATAGCTTCTGGGTTTTCAGACACATCGAAGATGACGGCGGTGGCTCCCCGCTGCACCGCTCGCTTGGCCTGGCAGAGTGAAAAAGAGCAGTTGGAATGTCGTTACCTATATATTTACAACCATTTAAAAAAAAAAAAACAAAACAAAACAGAAAACAACACAGCAGTTGGCACTCTGGTTTGCTGGCTTCCTAAAGTTGGCCTTGGAAACCAGACCGACCTACATTTGAATACACAGCCTGTATATGTATACATATCTATATGTATATGTATACATATCTAGTTAGGTGACTTTGGCCAAGTGACCTGACCTTTCTGAGCCTCAACTTGCCCATCTGTGAAAAAAAAAAAAAAAAGAACAAAGGGGACAATGCCACCAGCCTCATACGGGTATCTGAAGGATCAAAAGATTTGGGAGAAGTGGAAACAAGTAATCGAGCACTCAGTAAACATCCTTCTCCCTCTCCAGGCCAAACACGAGAAACCAACTGAAACAGACAACCTACCCAGTCAGCAGAGAGGTGCTGGTTTCAGTGTCTTCTGCTATGAACGCAGAGCCACTGATAACGGAAGCAAATACCTCTGTCCCTCTCTTGTGGTTCTTCCTCCCTCCCCCGTTACCCAGGTGAAGTTAGAAAGCAGGGTGATGAGTATTTCTGAATGCATTTCAAAGTGGTCAGTTTTAACAGCCGACACAGGCTGAAGCCCTCTGAAGGCCTCGTCCGGGCGAAAGCTATAAGGAATAATTGCGGAAGGAGATTTAGTGCAGTTGGCTGCCAAACCTGGCCGCACCTCAAAAACCCCTTGGGAAGTTTTTAAAGCAGATTTCCTGGCTCCGGCCACAGAGACTGATTCAGCAGGCCTGGAGCGAGGCCCAGGAAAGCGTGTTCCTGAAGTTTTCTGAGGGGTTCTGATGACTCAACAACTTGGGCAACAACTGGTGAGAGAGCCCAGATCACAATGTTTTAGGAACGAATGAGAAGTGACGGGATTATGTTTTTGGGAAAGGATTCCTTTTTATCTCAACGAGCCTCCTAATTTCAAGGCTTGCTGAGCGGAAGACAAGAGGGAAGACCTACGACATTCTCCCAGCCTCTGGGAGTTCGTGTCTTCTGAGGCTGGGGCAGGACTGGGGAGTGCTTTGCTCTGTTGTACATGGGGTCGCTATGAGTCAGAACTGACCTGACAGCACCTAACAACAGCGGTGACCACAATCTTATTAGGGAAATAAGAGACCTCTAACTTGGAGGGGGAAAAAACCAAACACCAAAAATTCTTATAAAATGAGCAAATGATGGCATTGCTCAGAGGTCAAGGACATCACCAGGGGCCCAGAGTGATTAAGAGAGGATGAAATCAGAATTTCTTTTAGTAGAACAACTGCCCTACATTGATTCAGCACAAGAAAACAACTTTGAACTTAAATAAGGAGATGGTTGTTGTTGTTAGGTGTTGTCAAGTCAGCTCCAACTTTCAGTGACCCTGTGCACAACGGAACGAAAACACTGCTGGGTCCTGCACTGGCCTCACAATCCTTGTACACCTGAGCCCATTGTTGCAGCCACCGTCAAACCATCTCACTGAGGACCTTCCCCTTTTTCGCTGACCCTCCACTTTACCAAGCATATCCTACTCCAGGGAATGGTCACTTCTGACAACCTGACCAAAGCAGGTAAGATGAAGTCTGGCCATTCTCGCTTCCAAGGAGCATTCTGGCTGTACTGCCAAGTAGATGGTGTAACAGGCAAGTCCAAGAATGTGACTAGGCCAATGGCCCCACCAACCCACTAGAGGGCAGTCTTAGCCCATAACTTTCTATAACAAGCCAATTCCTGAACTTTGTACCTAACCATGGGGACCAAAATCTGGTTCAGTGAAATCTGCAAGGTCCTCACAGCAGTTGAACCAGCGCAGGTCCTGCGTGCGCCTCTGAAGCTGTCCTTGATGTGCAGGGGACTCCTCTGCGTTGAACTCAGAGTCAATGTGTTTCAAGTCTCTTCTCTGATTGCCACCCTCACCCCCGTTTGCCCACCAGAGAGCTGCACTGGGAGTCCAAGTGAACCCTGGCAGCTATTTCTAGCTCTGCCACTGGCCAGCTGCCAACAGCGGGCAAGGCTCTGACTCCCTGTCAGCCTCAGCCTCAGCTTCCCAAGCCCTAAGAGGCAGAGGAGGGAGTCATTGTGATTAGGGCCCCTTCCGGTTCCTAGTCTTGGTCCCTCAACTGAGGAGCAAGGGGACTACCCAGAGTGATCCAGAAAGAGAACTGCAACGGCCTTGCTGGCCCCTCCAGCCAGAGAGGATACAGACGGTACCGCGGTGGGTAACAGGGATGCCAAGGTGTAGGCTTGCTTTCCTCTATAAAGCTCTGGGGGGCACAGCCCCTTTGCCTGAGGCCACGAGCTTGAGGACCCTAGAGTTAGGAGTAAGTGCTGTGTCCTCTGCGCAGGTGGTATCCCAGTCTTTTTGCACGAATTCTTTCCCAGGACATAGAAGGGACATGGGGAATAGTGCTGAAAATCAGGGAGATACTCCACAGGCCCTCTTCTTCCTTTATTTGGCTTTTGTTTCAAAATCAAGCACATCCAACAGCCCCCGGAGGGAATGTGTGTTCAGATCTGTCTTGATTGGGAGTGCCGGCCCCTCCCCACTTTGATGCTGGCGCACCTGGAACATCTCACGGCTGTGGGATGGAAGACCGGGACCAGTGCAACCTGCTCCCGGGCTGCTGCAGGCCTCCCAAGGCAGCACCAAGGCAGCAGTGCGGCCACACCACCACATCACCTGCTTGCAAGTCCCAAGGCTTTAGAGGTTCCAGTTAAAAGGCACGAACGACCCACTCGAGACAGGCACAAAATAAAAACAAGAAAACCCAAATCTAAGAAGGTTGACAATCTCTTATTTCCACACTGCAAGGGAGCAGATTAAGAATAAACTAGAAACAAAAGCTAACTTGTTGCCCTTGAGTCAAATCACACTTGTAGCGACAATGGAACAGCCCCATGGGGTTTCCAAAGCTGTCAATCTTTATGGAAGCAGACTGCCTTATCTTTCTCCTGGGGAGTGGCTGGTGGGTTTGAACCAGCAACCTTTTGGTTAGCAGCCCAGTGCTTAACACCTATACCACCAGGGTTCCGTAGATGAAGAATCAGCTGGTTAAATCTTGTTTGCAGCTGTAGCCCAGGCACAATTCAACCAGGCTTACAGGATACAGAGCAAATGTTTTGTTTGGAAAAAATGCTAATTTCCTCTGTTGATGGCCTTTAAAAATTACATTTAATATAAGTAGCTAATGAAATAGGCTTGCATTTCCTCACATACCAGGACTGGACAGGAAGGGGGGTCAACCAGAATCCTGTTGGGAACTGGCCTGCCAGGAGCTGGTTTGGGATTGAAAATAAAAACAAAAACTAAACTCACTGCCGTCAAGTCAATTTGACTCATAGTGACACCCCCCACCTTGGGTTTCTGAGGAGGCATCTCTATGAAAGTAGATTGCCCAGTCTTCCTTCTGAGGAATGGCTGGTGGGTTTGAACTGCTAGCCTTCTGCTTAACAGTCAAATGCCTTAGGGACCAGGGCTCCTCCTTTAGAAAATGACATGTTTATTGTAATATCCCCAAAGCATGTTTAAAAAACAGAACATGACTTGGCTACCCTTTGCCCCCCGTCCCACATTTTCAGTTAAAAATGATGAGGCATATTCCTGAACCAGTCTTCATATCTTAGGTCATTTACCGTTTTCCTAGTCAAGTTGAGCCACAGTGTTCTTTCAAAACAAATCTAAACCACAGATGGGAGATTACCAGTCTCATGACCGCCCCAAACCCTATCTTTGTAACATCAGATACCCAACATCCCGGATTCTCAAGGTAAGACTGCTTCAGAGGAAGGGTGGGAAGATGCAACCTGGTGGGTGTTGCTGGATGAAGGTCATGGGGAGCGCCGGCTACAGTTGGAGGGCAGTCAGCCCTGAACTGGAGAGGAAGCAAAGGCACCCAGAAGGGTGCGAACAGCAGAACACGGGGGGAGGAGGGGCTTGCCAAAGCCTTCCAGAAGAATCCAAAGGCCTTGCCTGCTGACCTTCCGCGGCATCCCAATCACATCCATTACCACCTTCGGCGCTCTGACTCAAGCCAGGCAGGTCGGCACCAGCCTGCTGGTGACCAGGGGCCTGGCGGCAGAATGCTGAGTAAAGGGTTACCATAGTCCTTCATTTCTATTTGCAGAACTGCAGGATCCAAGACTAGACAGTGTTCATGGTCACTGACACTATGATGTCTGTAAGTGTTAACATGGGCACACTTAACAAATTTTGTATCTTGCAAAATGTATTTGCAAGGTACGAAACTTCAAACCCTGGAAGATAGGGTCCAATGTGGCTGGTCCTAACTGCAAGGCTAAGGCTCCTATGGCTATCTAATAAATATTTCTTAGAACTGAAAGAAAGCCGGCTTGGAACTGTGACCTTAGGTAATCACCCATAAAAAGAAACTGCTCCCTAAGCATGGATGTGGGTTACCCATAAGGCAGCGCTTCTATCACTACGATGGTCTAGAATTTCTGGATGTAACTGGAACATTCGGATGAGACGGTCTCTTTACCACCTCATGGGTGGGGGAACTTAACCCCTAGAGTCTGCCACCTACCAGGGCTATTCAATCAGGGACGGACCTCCCCAGGGGGCATTTACACCCAGACTGGGTTTGGGGCTCAGACTTGCTCGAATTCCACTCTCTGTTGCCTCTGGGGCACAGACTCCATTTCTCGTCTGTTCCTTCGTCAAGCATTTGGATGTCGGGTCCCAGTGTCCGGCCTTTATTGTAGAACACAATCATAAGAGGAAATAACCCAGAAGATCTCCTTTGTCCCAAACTCCTGCCTGAAGGATAACCAAGGAAACTGGAGTGTGAGAGCTACTATGAAGCCATGTGTCTTCAATATCTTACAGGAAGTTCTGACATACGAGGGCTTCAAGACCTTCTTTTCACTTGTCGTAAGCTTTCCAGCAGGCCATTAAAAAGCCACTGTAAATATTTTTAATGGCATATATGCTAATTTAGGTCCCATATA